ATGATGTGCTGAATAGTCGGGGATGGTGGGTAAATTATGTAGCAGTACGATGTGGTGACAGCCAGTCTCGTTTTCATACATTCGACACGCTGACAACTGCGACTACGCCTGCAGAAGTCGCATTCCTCGCTTCCTCACTCCGCTCCAGTGACAACTGTCTATTACAATGATTTACCATTCACTGAGTTGCACATACATACATCACAGCAGACGATCATGGAGTTTTATATTAATTATTTAAAAAAATATATTAGCCACTAAAATGCGCCCACCATTTTTCGACAACACCACTGACCGACGGTTTCTGAGGCAAAAATCCCCGTTTAAAAAACAATATTATAAATAAATACATGTAAGCATATTTTGAGCTGAAAGGAGAATCTGTAAAATGGATTTTATTCTATTTCTTTGCATATTATGAAATATGGTTTAAAAAGCTGTAAATAACGATGTTATATTGTCTGTAATAACGTAGGTTTATATATTAAAAAAAGAAACTTATACTTAAATGTGTAGGTATTCCTGAGTTCCAGGCGCGGCGCGGCGCGGCGCGGCGCCTCCCGATGGAGCGATCTCTGTCGGCAACTTAATATCCTTTTCATAATTACTCATATTCAGTTCGCAGTTATTTTTAGCGTTACTCGATACTCTCTCTGGACGCACATGGCAACTAAATTTGTCGCTATTAGTATCTTCGTTAAAAAAATAAATTTATGGCGTCGAAAAAACTAGGGTTAGGCACTTTGTCACCAGGGTTATTTATTGCTCAGGGGTTTTAACGCGACCCGAGTATTTTGCAAAGTGTTTTTGTTTGCTCCAGTCACATGTGTGGATTGGTAACAACGTGGCATTTCAATAATTACTGATAATTTAGCACCGACCTGACGACTGATTAAGTGATAGAACCGCAGGGACTAATAACTACCTTAATAACATTCATTTGACAATATTATACTTATCTTTTTGTTTGTCGTATCGACATTCCGCGCACCTTTCGCTAATTGCGAAACTGTTAATAGTGTTTTAAATATTATACATAGCAATTCGTTTAACCGCACGTAAAAGGTTAGAAGTGGACTATAGAACTTAGAATTTAAATAATTTGTTTAAGATGTAATTATGCGACAGTTATCATTGATATTTGTGTAGTTAGTCAGGTTAACCGTGACCTCGTCACACCGCAGCGTACAACGCTGGCCGAGTTTCGTGTCATAACAAGATGATAAATAACACTTGCACGGTACATGATGTGTCAATCATCCGCCACGCGCGCTGCAACTTGCAACAGATGCATTACCTTGTTGACTCACTGCAGCCGCACTGCAGCAAAACATACTTTGTACATCACGAAAATACGTAAAGTAGTCGTTATGCTTGAAGTAATAAGAGCTATATACAAATAACAGTATTCAGTAGACAGTTTTTCAATGTAAATGTAAGCGTACGTGCCTTATCTCTGCGGCGGTATCTGTTGCGATAGGGCTGCACAATCGGTGATGTGCCAAGCGCCGGCAGAGCACGCCGCACACCGCACGCCGCACGCCACCCAGCTGCGCTAAGGAGCCCATCAATGCGTCACATGTCGGCTCTACGACACTCTCGTCTAACAGCCTAGTCATAGCTCTTGATTTGCTTAATATTCATTTGTTTTTGATGTGACACTTATCGGTATATTTATAGGTATACTTAACTAGCTAGTTCCGCGAATTCGTCCGCGTGAAAATTTTCAAGCAATTATGCCAAAGATTAACGTTGCTCTATACAAACTTTGAACCCACACTTTAGACCACTAAGGGATAAATTTCTAAGTGATGGCCTACGTAGTATCAGAAATCTCTACGATCCATTTCATGTTTCTTAATGCAGAAGCTGCACGTTGATAGTTGTCAGTCAGTTTACTGTTTTGTCTTCTGGTTATAGATGTGTATAGATTGTTAATTGATTTTCTATTTCTTCTTAATAATATGTAACATTTACCCTTGATGTGACATTTATATTTATTGGTTATTGTTATAAAATAAGTCTTCATAAACTTGTATGTAACTTTAATAACAAACTACATAATGTAATATATAAAGTGTGGTAAAAATGTAAGCAAGTATTTCCCGATGTTACATTTTTACAAATTTAAATACAAGTAAATAGTAATTAATGTTAAAAAATATTTTTAACGATAATAATATTTTTAAATTTTAAAAATAAATAATTTTGAAAAATAAAAAATTTAAATAACAAATCGGGAAAACTTATATAAATATAGATAAATATACATAGTATGTAGGTACCAGGCTGATATACCATGCCGTGTGACGTCACTGCTCGATCTCGTCATTCTGTTATAATTAACCGCATCAGTATAACTTGAGGAATCCGTTATCATACCATGCCATGGTTTATTAAATAAACAAATAACAAGCGAGAATCGCGCTTTAATTCCATCACATTGTATTTAGCTCAACACACAAACAAATTACATCTGAATTAATTGTGAACGTTGTATAATAATAACAAGAGTCACTTATCCTGATTTAAATTCATTGAAACTTAACTATCTGAATAATAACTCAAAAAACAAAGTTCAAATTCTCACTTATAGTAGATACATAATGCGAATATATTTTTCTAAAAGAAAAAGTAACTAAAGTAGGATTACCTTTTGCTGGCTTAAGTAAGAATTCAAGCTTTACTCGTTCACTATTATACGACACATAACTTGAAAGTCGAAAAGAAAGTTTCAATGTGAGCAAGTGAATAATAAGTGTAATTGAGATGTCGAGTAGTGCGGACATGCGGCGGACATGCGGCTCGCTTGCTTGGCATGTGTCGCTACGCTTCGCGGACTTTCGCACGCGCCAATCTATGATATCCATACAGGTTTATGTTTCTTTGCAAACGGGTTTTTGTTTGTATACACAAGTACACATTTATTCGCTTAATCATTTCTGTTATAATATTAAAATACAATAACATATATAGAGGAGTTGATTACAAAGACTATTTTTGTTGTTATTATACTTTTAGGTTTTAGGTACCAACAACTACTTCTTTAAATATATCACAATGTTAGGGTATTGGGCAGCGAAATTGTAGGCCAGACTAAGCTATTGTGTTGACGATGTAATGAGTCGCTTTAAATATGTGTGTGTGTGTGTTGTGTGTTCAGGCGCTGTGTGCGGGGCAGGCGATGCAGCAGTAGCGGCAGGCGGCAGTCGGGCAGCGGGCAGCGAGTCGGCCAGCAAGGGCGGAATGTTCGGCGCGGGGGCTGGAGTGGGCGCAGGCGCGGGCGGGTACGGCGAGGGCGGCGAGGCGTGGGCGGGCTACGTGGGCGGCGGGCGGCTGCAGCAGTATGCCCACTTCGCTCCACACCAGAACGTGTGGCACCACCATCCCGCCGCGCACCACGACTCATACGGTAATCATTCTAATATTATGAATGCTAACGTTTGTATGGATGGATGGATGTTTGTTAGGAGGTATCTCCAAATCATTAAGCATGGATCACGCTGAAATTTGTATAACAGGAGAATATTGTGAAATAACTTTACTAGACATACAAACAGGACAGTATGGATCAAGGTAAAGAAATAGAATACTTGAAATTAAATGTTTAATAATAAACTCAAAAACAACTTGACATTAGAAAGCTACATTATCACTGAGTAAGTAAAGTTCTTCTCGAGTATTACTACATTTTTAAATTTTCGTGAGGAAAAAGTCGCGGCCAAAAGCATAGCATCGTATAACAAGGATGATCAGAGCAAATATCGGAGTTTCGTCGCAATGTTACAGTAAGATAAAACAAGGAAAGATGTTAGAGACACGTCCTCCTAGACTTAGACAAACATGTTTATATCCACACCAGTAAATAAGATAATACAAATAAAATAAGAAATAACAAATATGAATATATTTCGATCTAGTTGGGGATTCATTATTAAAGTAGAGCTGCTATGATTGTTCGTGTTAACAATATTTTGAACAAATTCAAAAGAATTATGTTCCAAGTCGGCTGCTAAAAATGATCCATGAGTTACGTAAGATTTGATTATGTTTGATACTTCGTTCGTAAATTCGTTGTCAAAATTACCATTGATAGCCACAAATAAGTACCTACCGTATCGTTTGAGTCGTGGGGAATTACACGCTTACGTACATATTTTTTTTTAATTTATTTAGATTATTGGCAATTCCCGGGACACGTGATAAAAATTGTTAGTTAAATTATTAGAATCATCTCAAATATAATTGTTGAATTGTTTGCAATGCTTCTTACTAAATCAAACATTATTTTTTACCCACATTAATTCGCAAAAATAGCGACGTGACCGCTGCCCGTAGACGCATTTGCAGATGCGCTGCCTACCTTTAATTACAGAATGAGGATATTTCCTTTGACTTCTATGCGTATCCGCATCCGTATCCTCCGCCAATTTCACGCCACCTCCAAGCATTTCCCTGCAAGAAAAGAGTAGGAAGGAGAAGAGGACCAAAGTTAGACGTTACATACTCAACATCAGACTGTACGCGGAATTGCTTCCAATTGAGGCTTGTCTTCTGTGTGATCGCGATATTGCACTGATCGTGGCGGAATATTTGTGCAACAGATGTTGTTGTTACTGGCGTCTACTACTGTTGTTATTGTTTTATTCTTTTACTGATTTAAATAATTGAGATACACTAAACTAATCGAATATTGATATCCACTATCACCGGTGCTGCCAACTTTCGATAAATAATGAAAATTTAATAACTATCGCCGCGGAACCGTCTTTAGAACCTTGTATATATACTTAGGTATATTATTTGTTATAATTTAAAATTATTATTTATTACAATTCTGATCAATTGCACTTTTTATCCCTAAAATATGAATTGTTTGACATGATATGATAGTGCCTACATAATATATATATGAGTTTTGAGTATCAACATGAATAATAGTTATGAAATCATCAGTAGAACAACATCACTTACAAATAATTGATAACAAATGAAATCCCGGCCTCATTAGTGAGTACAGTAGTGAGATCCGCTGAGAGGCGGCGCGCTGGCCGCGTCTCCGCAAACCGCAATGCAACAACAAGTGATTCAATATCGCCTCCGATGTGGTATTCCCAGAAACAGATATGTTTCCCAACAGAAGGATAAACGTATTGTTTTTGTCCATCTGAGGATGGATCAGCGGCCAAGGGGCGCGAAGGGGGCACGTATCGGTCGCCGGAGTTTCTCGTTGACTAGAAATCCTACAAATACCTAAACCTGATTAAAGTACATCTTGTCACAATTCTTTAGATGTAGACATTCATTGTTTAGGATGGGAGTGTAAGTCGTGAGTGTCAAGTGTTGCACTAATTTGATTCATGCCTTTTTTGTAGAAGAATAAACTACTAAGTTTATCGCATTAAATCTTCATTTCTATTTTTGAGAAAAAAAAACCGGTGTTAAAATTGTTGTAGGTTTTAAGTGATTTTAAAAAACGTAGTCTTTTTCCTTCTCGTGGCCGCACACGAGAAGCGCACGAATTGAACCATATCGCAACAATAGCGGGCAGGTCTACTGAATCAGAGGCGATAAGAGGCGTCGCGCGCGCTCGCTGGCGCGGTCAGTGCGCGCCGCGACCTCTGACCGTGTGCTCCTGTGTGCGCCGCGACCTCTTGACACCTCCTGCTTCTGTCTCTGCGTCCCGAGTCGACCGACATGGACGCCTTGCAGCACTCGCCCTCATGGCTACAGAACTTCGCACTCCTGGCAGGTTTGTGCCAGCGCCGGCGGGTCGCGAGCTCGGGGCGATACGCGGCGGCCTCGGTTTACGCGACCGCGAGTGATATCCGATATTATCAGTTCGACTTAATGATTGTCAACAATGAACAAGCTCCTACCGCGCCAAAATAACAGTTTAAAGTTTAAACAGTCGTCGGAACAAAGAGGCATTTGTTTAATTAAAGCGATAGATAACTAATTACAATGTTGTTGTCAGATTTCGTCAAATCTGTTCGTTGACTAATTGTTCAATAGAACGATGATAAGAAGCACTCGATGACATGTTACATTGCTACAGTACGTGTCCGAGGCGGGATCAATATTATTGTAACATGATGTTACAATATTTCAACCACAATTAGTTAATATTTAAAATTCTTGCAACATTTCAAACATGAGTTTATTCATTCGTAATGTTTATCGCACAGCTTATCTTCATGTTTAAAAATGATTTTTTTTTTCTCGTATAATTCTTTAGTGTGCATATTTTGGTGGTATCATATTCTTTTATTGACATTGGATAATTGTAGTATTGGAATCTAAACTGTGTCTAGTTTAATTTTGGTGTAATTGGTAATTATGAGGCAGAGCGAGTGCCGCCTGCTGCAACATGGCTGGCATTACCGTCGTGGATTTATTGAGACATATAACTCATAAAACTTCGTCCTTTCAGTTACAGTTCTGACTGTTCAGAAACAGTAGAGCATTTGTCGCAAAAGAGTTAAGGTGATCAACGTGTGAGCAAAGTATGCTCTGTTGTGCTCAGTTAATTGCAGCTGGATGTGCACTATGTGGTTTCTCATTTTCTTATGTAGGTGTTTCATCAACAGGTAGTGGAAGTGTGGGCGGCGTGGGCGGCGTGGGCGCCGTTGGCGGAGTGGGTGGCGTGGGCGGCGCCCTCTACGGCCAGAACGTTGTGATGGGCTCGTGGTGCGGGCCCTACGATGCCCTGCAACGCCCTCCGGCGTACGGTAAGCTGACACACCGGCATTACATAAACACAAACCAATACTGTATATTAATGGCAAATTATGAAGATGATAATGTTGATGATAAAAACTTCAACTATTTTACTATTTGTTTGTGCAGCGCAGCATGCGATGTATAACATTGACTAAAACAAGGAAATTAATATTTATATAGTCAATGAATTAGTCACTTTGTAAACACGTCAGCGACATATTAAAGGAGTGGATTTAAGAGGATAACATCTCTGTACCTATTGTTGTACTGCGAAAGAGGCACATCTATTTGTGTCATGTTGTTGAACAACAAAGTTCTTTGATGACACAAATAGAATGTGTGAGGAATTGTGTTGCAATGCCTTTTTTACGAAGTTCTACCAGAATGTACAACAGAATTGCAGTCCGATATCCAAGGAGTATACGAGTCTTGGCTCTGAATAGATGCTAATAATTAATTGTAAAGAACAATTGCCTGGATTTGAGTTAACAAAGTGCGGCCGCAGACCACTATCTGCCGGATAGGCGATAAGCCGCGGAGGGATCGCCCTAGCGGTGGCGCCGCGTCGCGAGGCGCACTCCGCTTTAGGGAATTCACTGGCTACTGCAAATGTGTATGCTCAGTGTAACCTGTATCGGTTATAACTAAAAGCAAATGTTTGTAGTCGGAATTGTATAACTCAGGATATCGTCAAATATTCATATTGTAACATGTCGCACTTACCATCATCTTCTATGTATGTAATAAAATGCAGTGACTGCATTTATCAATTTACTTTATATTTAATTGTCAACATTTTTAATGCGTGTCATTACTATTTTTACCAATTTGTGTACCAGGATCCGATTTTATTACTAGACTAGACTTTTTCCTTCAATTCCATGTTATATGCTATAACGTTTGTTCTATTAGTCAAGAAACAGCGGAACGTGGTCTCCTTGTGTTAAGTGATTTATCCACATTCATACTGAAACATAGTGCCAGCCTTTAAGGCCCTCAATGGGACATACCTGAATGTACACGCAGCTCACTTGATGATAAGTGATTATGTGAGATGTTGGTGCTGCCTCTATTTCGTTTAGAGCGGCTAGGCTGGCAAACATTAGGTCCACTGCTAGATGTGGTCACTTAGGTGACAGAATATACTCCCGGCCGGTGCGCCGGGAGCCACAGGAGGCTTCGGCCTCGGCTGACGGACGCGGGCACTGCGCATACAGATGGCGTGCTGGAGGCGTACGAGGAGGGCCGCGAGTGTGTCAACTGTGGCGCCAACAACACACCACTGTGGCGCCGCGACGCTACCGGCCACTACCTCTGCAACGCGTGCGGCCTCTACCACAAGATCAACGGAGTCAACCGGCCGCTCGTGAAGCCCAGCAAGCGGCTGGTGAGTCCCCCGCTGCTCTGCTAGTAACGCTCTCTCTGCGAACAGGTGCCGACGCGGAGCTGCTCACCCGCTTCTATAAGGACGGCTCCGTGCAGAGATGGATGAGTGTGGAAGGCATGGCCAGGGGCATGAAGAAGGTGAGTCGGTGGCGTGTAGACTAGTGCATGCTTCCCGCCCCGCTTGACCGACGCCCGCGCCCCGCACCCCGCACGCGACTAACCTTTCCCTCCGACTTTCGCTGTAGAACTACACGCTACCGCTCCTCACCCGGCGGCGCCGGTGGTCCCGACTCCCTGGTACCCGTAGGCCTCTCGCCTCGGCGAAACGGGAAATCGGGACGGCCGGCGTCGCCCATGTTTGTTCGATAACCGATTGCGAAGCGCGGACAGTGGTTCTCGCCGGCCGGCGCACAGACGGGAGACGCGACGGTGGCGGGCGGCGCCGGGCCAATGACGCGCGGCCCCGCCCGGCTACCCGGCCCGGCCGGCACGCACACGCATTGGACGACGAGCGACGGCCGCTGGTTTATCTTTCGTTTATCGAACAGTTGTGTACCGTCCGGGTAACATGGTGGCGGTGTCTTCTCGCGCATGCTCCGAGTTCCAGACTTCGCCTGTGGTTGCACTTTTGCCTATCTTTGAGTCGAGTGCATCATGTATTATATTTCTTGTGTTGCAAAGATCTGCTTGCTGTAGTATTGGTTATTGAATGTAAATAAAGGTCGGAGCTAGCCGATGATCTAGGCTAGATGTAGTGGGGGCTGCATTTTTGCTCCCTTCTCTTATATAAAAGTAATTTTTGAGTTATCTATATATATAGTAGTAGCTTATACATGTATTTATTTTGCAATTTTTCAATTCCCTAGTGAGGCAGCTGTACCCCATATCCCCTCTTGGTGAAACCTATAATGATGTAAATAGTAAATACCTGTATATCGTCCTTATCTAATTCCTATCTTTACTAAAAAAACGTTCCACACATCACACATACATAAAGTAGGTTTTAATATATATATATTAAACCCTCATTTAAGAATTATTCATATATGTATAATACATATTTGGATATAAAGGTTTTCGTAAATAATGTACTAATTGAAACTGACAATTAAAGTAACCGGTCCCAGACATACCCCGGAGACGGAGTTGCTCCGTGTCACAGCAATGTGTGTGTGTGTGTGTGAGTGAGTGCGCATCGCAGCCTCCTTGTCTGATGCACAGAGATGTCCACCTTGTAAACTAAACTAGAGAGGGACGAATAACTTTCACGTTATAGGGTGCAATGTGATTTAACTATTATTATGTAAATCATAAGCAGGAGGCATTCTCATTGCATTGCAGATCTAAAGCGTAGGATTATAGTGATCATAAGTTTACAATGTACTCATTATCTTATTGGACATATCATTCATTTAAACTAGTGAGATTATAAAATAATGATGTTTACAATGTGACGGTAACACATGCATACAGAAATAATGTTCTTGTATGTATGATGTGACGTCAGCGTGTGTAGACATGTCCCCCCCCCCATCTCTCGCAACAAACACATCTCGATAAAGATATAAAGTGAGCTTTTAATTACATCGAATGCATCGATTTGTTCCATTTAAAAATTATTTATAAATAAGTAGTTCGGTGCTCACCTTTATCTGCAGCTTATCCTCCGTCATCTCCGTTTTATTATTCACATATTTTACACATATTTAATTAAACATTTCATTATTAATTAAGCAACGTTCAAGAGGTTTCCTCTTTTACACTTAATGTTTTATTATTTATTTCAGCATCTGTCAAATGAGAAATTTTAATAATGAAATCCTGTAAGTTCTAAAGTGGTCTTCAAGCATTTCGCTTGTTGTGTCAATTGATTCTTCCAAATTTTAACTCAGATAATTGTCTAATTCATTACAGAAATGTTTATTTTATCCTCATCATAATTAGAAGATTATCCTTTCCGGTGGAGCTGATTTTTTATAGAGCATTTTTTTTGTATTTGTAAAGTTGATCGTACATATATAGTAGGTACTAATAGTAATAAAGCGTGATTGTTAACCACAGATAATGTAACAATGGCATTGTGCAAATTTATGTAGCCGTCAATTGGTAAAATCAGTAGAGGTATTTGTGGTGATGCGTTTGTATTTAGTAAGGAATGTGTTGCATGATTTGCTTTATACACTTATATTATTAATTATTGTGATGGTGCCTTTTTACTTTTTAAATTACGACTAATTTTAAGTTTCGACCTATCTATAGCTAATATATCCATTTCCATTCTGAATTTATACTTTGTTTTATCTAGTCAGCAAAAAAATCTTATTTCTGTTATAACAGCGACCTTTTGACATTTACTTCCACTAGTAATTTGTTTAGGCTATTTTAGACACAATATTCGTGGTGAACATGTTGTTAACATTCGTAACGTGTGTGTGTACACAGTCTGCGGCGCGGCGACACGGCCAGTGCTGCACCAACTGTGGCTCTCGGAACACCACGCTGTGGCGGCGCAACAACGACGGCGAACCCGTATGCAACGCGTGCGGCCTCTACTACAAGCTGCACGGCATCAACAGGCGAGTACCGCACGTCTTCTATACCACAACACTAACACGAACGGAACCAAAGCCAAGAACGCGAGTGCTCCACACATAAGGCTAATCTTACCAAAACTACCTTCGACCTACAAAGTCTCGAGTTCAAATAACTGTTTAAACGTATTAACATTTTCTGTAAAATAATTGGTATGTATTGTATATTTGCAGACCTTTGGCAATGAGGAAGGACGGCATCCAGACGAGGAAGAGGAAACCGAAGAAGTCCGCGAGCGGCGCCAAGCCCCCTCAGGACAACGTAAAGAAGGACGAGCACAGCTCGCCGGGCATTGACGGTAAATACTGTCTACTTAAGTAATTTTTAAAGCCGCTGATTTACCAAATCGTACGTATCACCAAAACTGCTTCTGGTACTCAATAGTATTCTATTATAAAAAAAAATCGGGATAGCGGTACAATATCATATATCCACTAACCACTTGGTTTATTTGTTGTACTGTTTTTAAAAACATTTTTATTTGAACATCATTACAGAGAGCAAACCAAACGTGCCGGAGGCGCTCCCGCTGACCGCGGGCAGTGCGAGCGGCGCGGGGAGCGTGGGGCGGCCGCGCAGCGAGACCAGCAGCACGCCGGGCGCACACACCCACGTGCACGCGCACGCACACTCTCACGCGCACGCGCACGGGCACGCGCAGACGCACGCACACGGACAGCAGTACGGGCTGGGCGTGCCCGCCCCCGCCTTCCTCTCGAACCCTTCGCTGTTCAACATCAAGAGCGAGCCGAGCGCGGCGGGCAGTTACGAGGGTTACGCGCACGCCGCCGCGCCGTACCACTCCCAGCAGCACTACCTGCACGCGCTACAGGTAACACACACATACTCAAATAACTATTCAACGTAAGTATGTGTCAATAAAAGAAGAGTGAGGAATAAAATTTCCCTCGCCAAGTTATTGTAGAGCTTCGGTTTCTTTATAGAGAGAGGGATTTCTATTCGCAAAATGAATGTTAGAATTTTTAGCGCCAACATATTGTGCTAAGTACATGTACCATTGGGCGTGTGCAAATGATTTAATCATCCTTTTTAAATACAGCTGGGGAAAACCTTTCTTATAATAAAACACTGATGACATTCGCAGTACGGGCTCGGTAACGGCGAGGAGGAAGAGGGCAGCGGTTTCCTGCACCAGCGCAACGTCACCGCGCACGCCAAGCTCATGGCTTCCACGTAGCGACCCTCCGCACCCCGCACCCTGTTCAATGCAGGACGGAGTGACCGCACGCAGGGAAACGACTCAACTTTCCTAGTGTAAAAAGAACTGATGGATGTAGAAGCTGATTTCGTCTCGTGAACACACTTCACTCTTCCTGTACTATGTTCAGAAGATAATCTACTATCGCCGACGGAATCAGAATGACAAAAGACAAGTGACGTCACCACAGTGATGTGACTACAAGTAAGATGTACAGTGGCTGGTGTTGCTGACTCCCAGTTCGAGCCTCTGTGTGTAGTCGCCTTTGTTAACTCGAATCTCAAAAAGGCAACAATCATCGAAAGCTTTATAATGACTCGAAGTTACAAATGTAGTTAATTGATGTAGTTAATCAGATGTAATTTAATAAAATAATGTTAAGATAAAATTAGTAATAACTTGTAAATATGTAGTGTATTATTTGACTGAATAGCTTGTCATCTCTGTATCTGTATATTATAGGCAATGACTAGTTTGTGTACAAGGAGTTATGTGGTATAGTTAGGCCGCCACATGGCAAGTATCAATCCAAGGTAATGCCAAGTTCCTGACTCTTGCACTAGTCCAATTATGAATGGCCAATGTGCTTATACAATCATCACTAGCCCACTAAACCTCCACTGAGGGGTTTGGAGCCTACCCTAAGTCTGCGGTGACAAGGCCATAGTCAACAATGGCCTCATCACCCCTTAAAGTGAGTATTAAAAAAATGAGGTAATAAAGAATATTGAAGCTTCATCTTCTGAAGTAAGTGACATTGGTGTATGCATTTTAACATTGTTATAATAATAAGTAGACATCAGAACTATTAGATAATAAGTATGAACAGTATTCAGTTGTAATTGTTGGTTAATTTTGTTCAATAACTAGTTTAAGTTGTACAAGACATATGTATGGGCAATGTGACCAATGTGGAATCTTTGCCCGTATCAAGCATTTATTATTACGTCTGTATATAATAGTAGTAAATAAAATTATAACATTTATAACAAAAAATTTATTAAGAAAATATATGCACAGATTTATCACAGAATTGTAACTAACATATGTACTGCCTTACGATTTGATAAAACTATAAAATAATGAATTTTATATATTTTCTATGTAATTTAAATATATTTTATATTTGGCTTTATAAGCTTTGTGTATATTATTTCAATATGTAAGTATGTTCACAAACCGTAAACAATTTTAGGAAAGTTAATTGTATGTTGAATCTTTGTTGTCTCTCTCATTATGTCATAGGAATGTGTACAAAGTTATGTAGTAATATGAAATACATATCTAAGCACTGTGAAGCTTTGTTTTACTGGAGGCTAATGCGAGGGCGTCCCCGGACAGGCGATAGTAGCACCACTGCTCACTCTCCGTTAAATTCTTTGCGCCGATTGCCTCATAGAACTTGCGAGCTTGGTTCCACGCTAGCACATGAAAATCTACACGATTGCAGCCCATCTTAACAGCTTGCTGGAATTATATTAAAACTATCTCACTTATATGAAAAAAGATGTAAAGTTTACACACTTATGATAAGTGTTTTTTTCAAGCCCTTAGTACATTTAAGAATTAAAACTCTGAGCATAATATTGTATGAGTGTAGTAAATGAACTGTTATATTCATGATATTCAAAAGAACAAAAAGCTTATTTTCTAACAAAAAACTAGTATTATTTACCAATACAGTGGCAGTGAAGAGTGCATTGCCTACACCACGTCGGCGATATTTCTGACAGACATAGAGGTCTTCCAGCATGATCGCTTTGCCTTCCCATGTGGAGTATGTAGGGAAATATAAGGCATAGCCTATAACCTCACTTGGAAACGGTATCTCAGCTACTTTGCACTTAAAGGCCGGTGGTTCTAGTTCAAATCCATCACGTTGGAGATCTGAAAACTTACTTATTGTTATTAATCTAGCCTTAAGGAAATTTCAAAATATGTATAAAAATACCTTCAACAGTAAGTTTTGGACCATCAGGCATCTTTTCAAAGTCAGCTAGCTCCTAAAATGATTGATAGATGATTTAAGAAACTTGTAAAAGACAGCAATTGTAATAACCTTCTTGCGGACCAAAATATGATGAAAAATAATAAATTTTAGATTAAATACAATATATAACTGAGTGAGGTATAAGCTATAACTGCTCAATTATGGATAAGAATTTTATATCTTAACAGTTTTCGTTAAAACAAAAACTGTTTACCTGAATCATACCGATCACCGCATGCATATCGTGCACAGTGGCATCGCGTATAATTAATTCTCCATCTTTAAATTTTTCACCCATTATTGTTTAATAAGAGCTTTTGAATTCTTATTGAATTTATTTAATTCAAAACTTTGAAGTATGACTTTGACTTTGACAGTGGCATTTAGCAACAAATGATAATTGTCAATGTCAAATGACAATACGATGTTAGTTTAAAAATTTTGGTTCCTTTAAACAACTTTAGGAAAATCCTATAAACCAAATAAACACACAAAGACATCTGGCCCGATGAGAAAGGCGTTGCGCTATCACGGTTAGTTCCGTGAGAAAATATGTAAAACGTAGCCCATGTAGGGCACAAAAAATGACATAAACCCAAAACTTAACATGAAAGCTGCAGTACGAAAACAAAAGGGATCTCGTGACATTTGTGATGTTGTGAGGAGGGCGCTAGTGAGCTATCAGCATATCATAAAAACTCATCTTTGGAAAATGTAAGGGGTTTAGGATATATTAGTTATATAACTAATATCTTAAATATCTCGGTTTTGTGTAAAGGTCAATTTAATATCAAAATACATGTCATATAAGAGTCATAACTTAAGCAAACTTAACAGGTAAGCGACACATATTTAAGTACAATAAGAGCGGCGTTGTCACAATGTGTGAAGAAGGGCGGCGCGGCGCAGTTGTTCCGCGTCGAGGCGGTAGTAGCGCCAGTCGGCGTCGCTCAGGTCCACGGCCCCGCGCGCCTCGTAGAACGCGCGCGCCGGGTTCCAGCTCAGCACGTGCAGCTCCAGCCGCGCACAGCCGCGCGACACCGCCTCCTGATACACGCTCCATACCTTTACTACGAGCAACTCAAAAGTCTAAAGATATGTAGCGAACTCGTATGTGATTCGACGGAGAATCTACATGTTTATTTTGTTGGTCAAAAATTAATTCGAGTGGTACCGCAGCGACAGCAGCGAAGAGTCGCCGCCCGAAGCCCCGGCGGCGCCAGCGCTCGCGCACGTACAGATCCTCCAGCATGAGGCCGCGGCCCACGCAGGTGGAGTAGGTGCGGTAGTAAAGCGCGTACCCCGCCACCACCCGCTGCTCCCCCCGCACCTCCAGCACCTTGCACCCGAACGCCGCCGGGGAATCGAACCCGTCTCGCACTAGATCTGAATCGTGTTAACCTTATAACTTGCATGGTTATCAAGCCCAGTTTAAAATACTAGTTGTCACACATTTTAAAATTACATTACGTTTGAACGGCAAACAAATGGTAAAATAACTTTCAGAAAATTGTACAAGTAGTCATTGATAGAGATATCCTTTTTACATACATCGTGATGATGTTCTAAGTTAACATTAAAGGACCTTTTTTAATTTTTTATATATTTGCAAAAGTAACCGGTTGCGTGAATTTTTTTACCTGCAGCGTTCAGTCGCGCGTCATCGGTCAATTTCTCATAAACAGCCAGTTCCTAAAGAAAAAAAATATATTGGATGGAAATATTTACCATATTGGTATGACTCGACTCACGTCCACGTTCAAGATCAAAGTTAAAATTTTATTGAAAAGTTTAATTAATATTAATATAAATAACATCTACCATACACAACTATCGCTGTGCATCACTTCAACATCAGTCTACTGCTATGCATAGGCTCGTAGTCCTACGTCTTAAATGTAAAAAAGTTAAAAAAAAATAATTTTGTTTATTTCAGGCCTACGCCCATAATAGCATATCAGTAATAACAACTCTATAACAATAATTAGTAACCTTTATTTCAGGAATATAAAGATCTACAATAGTAATAACAAAATTGAAACATAGCCGGTCTTGTTATTTAGTGACAATTTATGGAGCTACCTAATGCCAAAACTTTAAGCTTCAAGTTTTCCAAAATTATTGGTACCTGTATCATCTTGTCTACTTCCAGCATGTCTTCTCTCTCGGCGTCCCGGATAACCACCTCCGAGGTTGAGGCCACATCTTCCATTTGTCCAATTACACCTCACTCCCTCACACAATCTAACTTTAAGACGTTTTTTTTAATGCAAGCAATTCGTTTGTTGTTATTTTGTAAATGTTGTGTTCCAGCGGCGCGGCGACCGGCGACTGTCTAGATTAGCTTTATCACGTCACTACATTCGTCCTTACCCTGACCGCGCGTATCTCGAGCCGTTTACAAAAATATCGCACAGTGCACTTTTATATTTGCAATACACGTATTTATAGCGCGGTCGTGCAACGCCTGCGAAAGTAGCGCAGGTTCGATTCCTTTATTTTTACATGATATCATAAAAACTAACCAGTTTTACAAGGAGCGAGCTAAAATATCTCAAATAGCAGTTGTAAGCGACTTCATTCGCACGGAATTCAAAATATTTATTATAGTATTTTGCCTGCATATTCAATACAAACAAACAATCAAATCTTTCTATTTATAATATCAGTACAGACAAACCGAGAACCAAGTATGAAAATATTTTTTTTCCCGCTCTGTCGGAAAAATTCACTAAAAACAAGCACATATATATTATTATAAATGAAACAAACTCTTTATATATCAGATTATTCGTATATTACTTAACAATGTACATAGAGTTTAGAACAAGATATAATTAATAGATGTGCATGAAATAACGTGCAGAGCGCGGTCACTGCACGCGTACAAAAATATCATTCTCAATGTACATCTTTACATTACATTACAGTACAAACTAACGTACGCACTAACTATATACAATATTGCAGATTTCATGTCCACGACCTGAGGAGCGCCACATCGCTGTAGCTGCAGCTGCAGTACACCTGACTGCATCGTGAACAGACGAGACGGCTGGTCAAAGTAATGCACCGGTGCTAGCTCAGTTCTCTCACATCATTACTTCTTCATAAGATCAAATGTGGTTTGTGTACAACATAAAGTTGACAGTGACATGAATGCTGCTCAGACTGGACCACGTTCACCATCACTTTTAAAGTTATTTATCAGGTAATGTTATATGATTTTCATGCAGAATAAAGTAATAACAATGTATAATAAAATGACAGTCTTTCATTTCATCTTATAAAAGGTTAAAAATAAATAAATATGTATAAAATGATTTCTTCCAAATACTAATAACTATGAATGGAGTATCGGAGACATGTAAAATATTGTAAGAAATTTGCAGACTGGTTTAAGCCCGTACCCTCTGTGTGGTGTCCCGGAGCGCAGGTTGTATGAGGTAGTGTGGTGGGGGTGGTGGGTGTGGTGGGGGGTGTCAGTGGAAGGCGCGCGGGGCGAACTGCGTGCCCCAGGCTGACACGGAGGCGGAGACGGAGGTCGCGGAG